ACAAATACTATTGCATTTTCTGTCTTCTGAGCATTCAGATGTGCTAGAGGCTTTATAAATTAGAGAGAGGCTCCCTCCTGCTGGAGAATTAAGAGCATATCAGATCATGTGGGCTGATCCTTACTTGAGGTAATTCTATGTAGCTCCTCTGAAGTCAATGGAACCATGCTGGTTTACACCAGCTGAGGATCTGACTTGACTAAGGGAACCTTCAGTCCATAGTGACATTGGCTATGATGGTAAATGGTACTTGCACAAGTTATTACCACCCACACATACAAGTGAATTTATAACCAATCCCCCCCCCCCCAACTCCTATACACATCTAGTTGTCAATAAAGACATTTTTTAACCCAGAAAACTGCAAACTGTCTGAGAGTTGGGGAGGGAGAAAGGAGTCTTAACATTAAAATGGAGATTTTTCATCTATTCAAAATCAGCTGAATGGCGTTTGCTCAAACAGAAAATATTACGCCTGTCGACTGAGATTAAGCATGAACATTTTTGGCCCAAAAGGTGAACATTTCAAAAAGTCATATGCAACTGCAAAAAAGGGTGATAGAGAGAGCACTACTAGAGCACTTTTTTATATAATAAGCATAGGTGTGTCTGTCTAATGTTCACTGTAAAGCAGATTCATCATCTCATACTTCCGCTTGTATGACGTTGTTCCAGTAATAAATCCACTTTTAGCATTTGTGTAATAAATTAATATCAAATAATGATCTGCTTTTAGCACACTCAGTTCCAGGGGAAATGTATCTTTAACCTCATTATCAGTAAAACAGCGACCACTACATTTATATTTTTGTCTTTTGCTTTAGTTGTATGCTACAGTTCAGCCTAGCAGAACCTCACTAATACCTGTTTCCGGGGGGACAATTGAATTTTGGGACCAAGTGAACATGGTATCAATGTGTAGACACGGAATGTATTTTGTTCAATCATTTTGATAATTTGTGGCTTGAATATTTTAAATAATAGTAATATTTTCAGCAGGGTGGTGGTGGGCCAGCATATCAGCACTCTTCTGGTGGCCCCATGGTATTTTTGCAGACTTGAACCAAAGCAGTCATGTGTTCCTGAGTCTGCAAACAGCTAGTCAGGAACAGTAGGCATCATTCTAATCTCACTGATTTTTACGCTAATTTAAGTCCATTGACTTCAATAGTTAATCCTTATTTACATTAGCATAACTGATATCAGAATGACAGTAACTATGAAAAGTGTGATATATCCCTATTATACATAAAAACTATATGTGAGGTGGTTATTCTGAAAGTTAATGTTTACAGTATAGACAGTGTACAGTGATAAGATGTTACACTGTTGAGTCTTTCATGCAGCTATTCCAGAATTTTATGGGAGTAGTTTGGGAAGAGCATCACCACTTTCTCCCTCTTCTGACCATGGTTGTGATAATGTGATGCTGTGCTGGGAAGAGAGCACCATTTTCTTTGTGCAGATTAGTGAAGTTCTACTATACACTAATTCACATTCACATAATCAGTATGAAATAGCACAGGGCCGGGAGCCAGGAACTCTTGAAGGGCTCAGGTACCACAATGATGGATATAGTAGAAGAACCTTAGTAGACTAGAATAAAATCCTGGCTCTGCCACTGACTGACTGTGAGGGTTTGGGCAAATCACTTCACCATTCTGTTTCTGTTCTCCATCTGTAATATATTTTCTGCCTGCCTGTAATTAATATTGGTATAGGACTTTAAACAAAGTGCTACATAAGTATATGGTACTATTATTAATTGTCATGAGTTTACCCAGTACATTGTTGAATTATGAGAAGATGATTATCAGTCACACATGGAATTTTAGAGTTAAGTGAATCTTGTAGACATCTGATCCTAGCTAACTTGAGTTAGGGATGCCACTGAACTTTGGTTGGTATCCAAGTGCATACAGTATGGACTTAATGCTTAAAAACCAAAAACCTGCATAAAGGCTCCACTAGAAAAAGGTTGTTGCATCTTTCATCGGATACCTTTTAAGTGCCACCCTTGTTCCACTCTAACCAAGAATTTGATTCACAGCATAGATCCACTTTTTAAAACTTTTGTGAGCTATCTTAGGGAAGAGATTTATTAAGAACGCTTCACCTAAAGATTCCGTAAAAGGGGTCTACATGTGTCCTCTGGAAGCTGTCATCCATATAATGTTAGCAGAGGTCTCAATATGAAACGAGGTTCTTCTGAGTCCATGTCAGGAGCATTAAAACGGGGAAAAGGGGGCAACTTCTTAATGACCATAAAAGATCATGGCCTGACAGGCCTTGATTGACTGACTGATTTGTGTATGGGGCTAACTAAACAGTAGGATGGAATGCAGTAGGAATTCCAGGCTTAAAACTGGTTTGTTGATCCAGTCATTTTAAGTCCTACATACCAAGTTTGCATTATCCTTAAATGTACCTAGAAACTGTTAGCATCTTCCAAGGAGCTATACCTACCAAGACAACAAGAACCTCTATTTTCACATCTTTGGCTGGGGTCTATTGAGATTACAAACGTCTTCTTTCATGGTCATAAAGCAAACCCAGAAATTTCTTATAAATAGGATATTAGCTAGTGGCAATTCATTTTTTAATTCCCTAAGAGAGAACTTAATTTTATTGCTCTGTTATCTCTGTGAGTATATTTTTTCCATATAGTTTCCTTATCTCTCAGATCTGCAGATATCTGGTGAGTTTGCATGTGGTTTGTGGTCACATTTTCAGTGGTTTTGTTGTGCTTTTCTCTTTGAAAGTCCTGGGTGGCTCTGTACAGACACTGTGGTTTTGGGGTTGCCACAGTTTGTAGCCAAGCAAAGGTTGGGAGGGGGGGGAGAACCTCTGTTAGGAAATAGAGGTAGATTCATTGTTCTGGTAGCCCAGAGTATTCGTTTTCGCAACACACTCTCTTGTAAATGGCTAACAAAGAGCGTGTCTACATTGCAGTTGGCACGTGTGATTGTAGCACGTGTACGCATACCTGAACTAGCTTTGGGCGAGCTAGCCTGCTAAAAATAACAGTGTAGCCACAGTGGCACAGGCTAGTTGTCAGAGTACGTAATCTGCGCAGGATTGTACTTGGGTGGCTAGCTCATGTAGCTGCCTGAGCTATTGTGGCTACTAGTTTTTAATGGGTTAGCTAACTCAATGCTAGCTTGGGTGTATGCACATATGCTGCAGTGGCACCTCCTGCCTGCAGTGTAGACGTAGCCTAAGCTACTTTTAAGGAGCCCAGCATCCTTGAATTACCTTTTGCAGTTGACATGGCCAGTTAGCTAATCTGCAGACACACAGAGGCAAGATGGTCCAGTCGTTAGGGCACTGGCCTAGAACTTGCGAGACCTGGGTTCAGTTCCCTGCTCTGGCACAGACTTCCTGTGTGACCTTGGGCAAGTCTCTGTGCCTCAGTTACCCATCTGTAAAATGGGGATAATAGCACTTCTCTACCTCTATGTTGCAATTCTTTTTAATGTATCTATCCTTATAAAGTGCTTAGATAAGACAGTAATGGGGGCAGAGGGCATATATAAGTACCTTAGATAGGAAAACACTTTTGCAGATTGCCAACAAGTTTACCATCTTGGGCTTCGTTTAAAGAGAGAGTTGCATCAGTTTAACTTAAATTGGTTTTTAAACCAGTTTAGTTAAACTGGTGCAAAAAGCGGTGTGGACACTCTTATTTTGTTTTAAAGTCCATTCCTAATTGACTTAGGCAAACTGAAATAAGTCTGGTTTAAACAAAAATAAATGTTCACACAGCCTTTTGCCCCAGATTAACTATATCAGTTTAAAAGTATCACCTTGCTTAAGTTAAACCAGTGCCACTTTTTTGTGAAGACAAAAGAAAAAGATAGTGACAGATAGTGAGTGCTTAAGTGGGTGAGGTAGGAACAATGGCTACCATATTCAGATACTCTGGTTGCTGTGTTTAATGATGCATCCCTCTGGAGAGTTGCACCATATTTCTTTTTGTATTCTTTAATTTATTTCCACAAGATGTCCACAGTACCTCAGAAGACAGACAGATTGCACATGGTCCCTGTCCTAAAGACCAAAATATGTAATGTCACATATGACATAATGAAGGGATGACAAACCTGTGGGGGTGGGAATAGGTCAAAGAAGACAGAGGTCATTGCATTGAGCTTAAGCAACTATTCAGCAAAGTTGTGTGCACTGCAGGTTGAGGAAACAAATGTCGTTTATAAATATATGTATAAATCAAAGTCCGTTGACAATAAAATGGGAGCTGGAATTCCTAGTTCTCAGGTAATATACTACATTTATGATTGGGATAGAAATATGGTCCAGTGGTTTGGGCTCTGTCTTGAGACACTGAAGACCAGGTTCCATGCCCCCCTTCTCCACTGACTTCCTTGGGTGTCCCTGGGCAAGTCACCAAGGGTCAGATTTTTAAAGGTATTTGTGTCCAACTCCCAATTGAAATCGGTGGAAGTTAGGCTCTCTGTGACTCCATTCCCCATCTGTGAAATGTGGCTAATAGAACTTCCCTACGTCACAGTGGTGTTGTGAAGATAAACACATTAAAGGTTGTGACGTACTCCGAGATTACAGTACTGGGAGCCATAGAAGTATCTTAGATAGGATGATTCATGAGACACCAGCACTAAAACAATATCTGATCCCTAATCTGTTCTAATTTGGATTTAAAAACGTGAATCCCTGTCACTGATTCTTTCTAACTGTTGATTGACGAAATTCGTTGATTATTAGGACCCATCTTCTTCTGCAGACACTCCATAGGTTCCTGAAGTCTAAAGAAATGCTCTAGTTCAACCACACGTTATTGGGTTTAAGGCAGGAGTTATTACATAAAGTTCCCTGGCCTGTGTAACATAGGAGGTCAGATTAGATAACCATGATAGCTTTAAAATGAATGAATAAGAAAGTCAATGGGAATTCTGTGCATGGAGCAGCTATGGAATCAGGCCATGAGTGTACTACTAAAATATGTTTTTAATTCTTTTTTATAGCTATCGGTGAATATGAAGATCTTAGAGCAGCAAACAACAAAAAGAAAGAGGAGGTTTGTACTCTGCAATATGTTTCCTTAACACCTAATGTACTAGATATTGGAAGTCTTTGTTTGTCTACTGACTTCAGCTGAGTCCAAATATATCGAGGGAAATTTTGTTGTCTCTTGTAGCAGCTGAAGGCTAACTGTATGCTAAGAGGTGAAGAATAACATACAGTAATGTGTATGATTGTTGTGAGACAAACACGTGCCTCAAGGATGTAGCAAGGTCCTTCTTGGCCTTATGCCTCCAATACCTGAATTGTAAATTTATATCTCAACAATCACACAGCCAAGCCTAGTCTACATTAGAAAATTATGTATGTTTTTAACTTTGGGTGCAGCAGCACCCAGTGTAAAAGTGGTTCAAATATGAATGTGGACCAAGTGAATCATTCAAAAATATCTCAGGAAGACTTGCTTCCCCCAGGTCTGAATCTCATTTGTCAGAACCATTTTATGAAATGCATATTTATTTATTTTTTTAAATCTAAAAATATCTTGTGAATGTAGGAATGCAATCTTTTTTTAAAAAAGAAGCATTTGAAATCAGTCTCCCATCCAGATTTTTAATTCATTTTAATAGAATTAAGGATTATAGATGAACCTGAGCCTATAGCCTTGATGAAGGTGAAACTCCCCTGGACTTCATATGGACAAGTCAGAACTGCAGGATTGGACTTCTTAAAGTAAGAAGTAAAGTAATGGAGGTCTCAGAATCATTGGAAATCCCCAAAGTAACTCAGGGATTTAGCCAGGCTACTTCCACTGGAATCAGTTGAGGGTTCTGTGGGCTTTCAGTGGAAATTGTTAGTTGCTAAATCCCTGAGTCAGTTTCGAAATCTCAGCCAGTGACTCTGGGAGTGCATCAAGTTTGCTGCTCAGGCTCTGAAGCTCATCCTCCCTAGACTTCAGAACCTGAGCTCCAGCCCAAGCTGCAGCTATTTTTAGAGTTTTAGGGCAAGCTCCACTATCCAAAGTGAGTTGATCCGGACTGGGAGACTCAGTACCTGGTCTGTGTAGACTAATCCCGCACTGGGTAATGGGGCCTGACTAATCACTGTGGGGCCTGGAGACCACGACCCCTTACCCCTGCTGCGCATGCTCCAGGTGGAAGGGACAGATAAAAGGAGGCAGCCCAGCTCGGACTGGGCTGGCTGAGGAGGAGGGGCGTGTGCCCAAGGCTTTTTCAGAGGTGCCTGAGACTCTCCAAGCAGTTGGAAATCGTGAACCTGGACTACGCTGTAGACGAACAGATGACTGCGGAGTGGGGGGGACCTGATTTGTTAAAATGAGGTGGAGTGTGGTGGTGTTTTTGCCATTCAGTAAATGCACCATGTAAATGAGGAAGTAGTTTTATTGTGGATATCTGCAATAAAAGAAAGTGTGGGAAGTAGCTGGGGGTGAGGGAGGGAGTGTGGGCAAACAGTGAAAGTTCTCCCTCTTCTTTATGAGTGTTTGGCAGTTAATGCACATGGGATAGTTTTTACATCTTGGAAGAAAGTTGTTGTATGGACACTCCAGATCTCATTCTATGAAATATGTTGCAACCACGTTGCAAAATGTTAATGGATAGACTAGTAAAGGAAACTCAAAACTGGTTTTCCCCACTAAAATTCAGCGATGTCTGTAGCTATTTGACTGTCTTTTCTTCTGTTGTGCTGAATGCATTTCTCTTAGAATCATAGAATATAATATAAGGGTTGGAAGGGACCCCAGAAGGTCATCTAGTCCAACCCTCTGCTCGAAGCAGGACCAATTCCCAGTTAAATCATCCCAGCCAGGGCTTTGTCAAGCCTGACCTTAAAAACCTCTAAGGAAGGAGATTCTACCACCTCCCTAGGTAACGCATTCCAGTGTTTCACCACCCTCTTAGTGAAAAAGTTTTTCCTAATATCCAATCTAAACCTCCCCCACTGCAGCTTGAGACCATTACTCCTCGTTCTGTCATCTGCTACCATTGAGAACAGTCTAGAGCCATCCTCTTTGGAACCCCCTTTCAGGTAGTTGAAAGCAGCTATCAAATCCCCCCTCATTCTTCTCTTCTGCAGGCTAAACAATCCCAGCTCCCTCTCTTCTCCCTCTCTTGCCTGCCCTCCCTCCCCCTGACAAAATCCATCTCACTTCCCTGGCTAAAGTTTTTCTAATTTTTCCATCTGGTTCCTTCTTTTGCTCCCAGCATACCTCTCCCACGCCAAACCCTCCCAACCCTGGTATCATAGTGATTCATCCTGCAGTCTAGGAGAACTGGTCATATCTGTCTTCAGAGAGCTTCCAGCAGGACTGATCAACATTTTTTGTCAAAGCTTTCCTCCTTCTCTTCCCCCCAACAAAATGATTTTTTTTTCAAATAAATAAATAAATATAATTGTTCAGAATTTCCCCCCAAATTAAAAATTAGTTTGGTTTTTGATGATTTCTTTTGCCTAGTGCTAGTGCTGAGCATTGTGGTCCTGATTCTGCAAAACACCTAAACACATTTTAACTTTATTTTAACAGGACTGCTTATTTGCTTAAAGTTATGTATGTGCCTGTGTTTTTTGCAGGAGACAGGTCAAAATGCTCCGGAATTTGCCGCATCAAGCCCTTAGCGTGAATGGGAGAAAACATGGTCCAGTGCAAGAGTTCTCAACCTTTTTCTTTCTGAGCCTCTGACCCGCCCCAACATGCTATAAAAACTCCACAACCTACCTGTGCCACAACAACTGGTTTTCTGCATATAAAAGCCAGGGCTGGCATTAGGGGGTAGCAAGCAGGGCAGTTGCCTGGGGCCCCACACCACAGGGACCCCTGCAAAACTACATTGCTCAGGCTTCAGCTTCAGCTCCAGGTGGCTTGACTCAGGGCCCTGGGCTTCAACCCCATGCAGTGGGGCTTCGGCTTTCTGCCCTGGGCCACAGTGAGTCTAATGCTAGTCCTGATTGCTGGACCCCCTGGAACCTGCTCGCTGCCCCCCCCAAGGGGCCCCAGACCTCTGGTTGAGAACCACTGGTCCGGTTGACCGGGCATAGAACTTGAAGTCAGGAGTTCTCATTGCTGTTCTTTGCTGTGCCATTCTCTCACTGTTACCTTGAGAAAGTTGCTTCACCCCTCTGCATCTCTGCCCATTTGTAGAATGGAGATAATGACAGATAACTGCTTTGCTTTGAGACCTACATGTGGAAAGCACTATATAAAAACTAGGTAGTAGTGTATGTGCTTCTACCGCAGTTTATTGGCCATTTTCCCAAAATGAAGATGTGCATTCTTCTGTGAATATGGAAGATGCCATGCCAGATATTTTTCTTTCTTGGAAAAGAATTTAGTATATATTACAAATTCAAGCAGAGTTCATCATGCAACAAACAGCTAGGGTCAAAAGTAACCTGAAAAGAAAACTGAAAACTAGATCTGTGCCCTTTGTACATCTTTAATGTAGAAAGAAGGCCTGAAAAACTTTTTTGTTTTGTGTTAAGGTTTTTTCCTGCCTGGTTTTATATTAGACTAGACCTTAATTTCTATCCTGTTTTCCCCTGGAAGATTCTATGAAGAACTAGAGCATGATGTCAGAGACACCAGGGAAAACCTGATTGAGAGAGGAAGTGGTTTTAAATTGAGCATTTTAAAACACTTTTTGGCTAACATTTTAAAACTCAAGCAAGTAATAGAAGGAAAGATATCTGAGTCAAAAATTCCCCCTCGCCCATCTTATTAAGGTGTGAGAAAGTACACAATCAACATTGAGATCTCCAGTGAGTTATCCAGCAAAATAAGACTGACATTCCTAATATTTTAAGGTAAAATCAAATAATCTGTCCCCCCTTCTTTCTCAAAAAAATTCCTTTCCAGCCTGGTTTACACATCTTAATGGAGTAAAAAAGGCACAGCCCCAATTATTTTCCTTTATAGGTCACCTTCTTATTTAAAAAACAAAAACAAACTAGGACTAAAAACGTCAAGGTAACTTAACAGTCAACTGAACTCCCCCTCTCCCCTTAGATACTTAATATGCAGCTCTGAAGCATTCAAAGTCAGGGAACGAATACATATTTATGAATACTTGCTATAGATGATCATACAGGAACTACTTTTGTGCATCAGCATGGGCAGTGTTTGTCACCCTGCCAGCAGAAAAGGGACTGAGACAGAACCTTTCAAGAAACAGTGTATGTAATACAGTATCTTTGATACTGTTTGGCATTGTTAATTTCCCTTTCCTTGTGTGGCTTTCACTGAGTAGGGATTGTTAATTTGGAGTACTTTAAATTTCAGTAAAAAAAAATTTTTTTAAAGGGGAAACTGTATGTTTTCATTGTGTTTTCTGTATATATGCAGTTTCTCTGAGACCAAATGGCACATGGTACTGCAGTGGGAAAAGGAAAGTAATTACTTGGCTGTTTGAAAATGAATCTCCTATTAGCAACCGTCTGTCTAGAAACAAAGAAGATGGATCCCTATATTGATGGCATGTCTCTTTCTCTTTACGTTGGATGTGACAAATGCCATGTGATTCCTTCTTGGACAATACTTAATTTTTAATTTGATATTTTCACTAAAATTGTAACATTTCAAAGTCCTTCATAAAATAACCATGTCAAGAAAAAAGGAATTTTTGGCTAAGCAGTGGAAGTGACTTAATTCACTGTGTGATGACTATGTAAACTTTGATGCATCCAGACATCTAGGATAAATAATATCCCGTGATTATTTAGATGAATTAAAATGTAGTAAGCCGTTCTATCTAATACTTGGCTCAGAAAGTCTGCTCTCTTGTTTCAAGTGAAAAATAAGCCGACTTTTCTCTCCTAGGGCCTGATCTTGCACCATTGCAGTTAATGGGAGCTTTGCCATTGATGTCAGTGAGTGCAGGATCAGATTCACAGCTGGATAACTGAGCCAGTTGCAAGGATCTAGGGGTGAAATTCTGGCTTCATTCAAATCGATGCAAAATTCCCATTGACATCAACATGGCTCAGATTTCACCCTAGTGCTCCAGACTTCCAGTGTGGTTTGCCTGGTGGGCTCATGTATCCATGCGAAGTCTCATTTAAGTCAGTGGAGCTTGACGTGGGCGCAGGCAACCACTTAAACACATCACATTGTAGGATCAGAGTGTAGAATAGGCAATGACAGGTTTTGTGCTGTGCTGACCCAAGATGCTGGTCAATTTTGAAGTCTTCCATCCCTCTCCTAACATGTCCAATACTATACTGCATGGATATCTTCAGTATTCACATATTTTCTCTTGTAAGAAGTAAGCTATATCAGAAATTATCTTTTCTTTAAAAAGGGAATGCTGGCTGGCAGATTCCATGGCTACCAGCTAGGAGTACTGAAATTTCAGAAAAACAGAAGGCCTTTGAGATTCCACAGCTTGAGACTTGCAGGCAGCTAGAGGATCTGCTAATTGCCACTGAAGAATTGCTTAGTAACTTGAATAACCAGAAGGCAGAAATCTAAACCTTAGTACTAGCCGGTTGCCAAGTCTCTCGAGTATGATCCTTACGTGTACCACTCTTGAAAGATCAGGTCCTGGAGAGAAATTAATATAAAACTAATTCAATAAATTGAACTAAAAGAATCTAGTTGTTAAAATATCAACAGATTTGTTTTCTTGCTAAGAAATTCAGATTGAGTTGTTAAATGACAATTATGTAATAATAACATAATAATAATCAGCTGTAGTACTTCATAAAAAACCCAAGTAAGGACACTATAAATATTACACTACTGACATCCTAAACACCTCTGTCTTAAACTCATATTTTATCACAGCAAAGAAGCCTTAACTCTGACCCATGGATGTTGGTGATTTCTTACATACCCATTTTTGATTTTGATATCTAAACATTTCTCTTTTAAGGGCTACTGCTAAATGCGAATTGTTAGTTAATACTGACAGCAGAAGGTTTGGTAAAGTACTTACAATTACTGTTTCACAAGAATGTTTGTTTTATATGTATTTAAAATCAACAACACACTTTTTTCAAATGAATGGTAATGCTATGTACATGTGTTCTTGCATTTGATGCTGATCAGTGTGATTATTGATGAAAACAAAGTATATACTTTTAAAGTTTCTCTTTCAACAGCGTCATTGTGTTTCATATTTTGCTAACACTGGAGAAAGAATAGTAGCTTTGGGAGCAACTGGCAATTCTAGATTTGATGTCCTTAACTATTTATTTTCTTCTTTTAAATGCAAGGTTGATTGGTTTGTTTAAATTGTGATAAGTAACTGCATTGTTATCACTTATCAATATGTTTCTTGAGCTGAAAATGTTGTTTTCTGAGATTTCAATGTTTGTTTGCAACTTTTATTTCTACTTTTGTAGAAGTAAAAGAAGACAGTTTTATTTTTTTTCTCATATTAAGAAATGGGATGGATTAATCTTCATAGTAAGTTCAATGGACTTTGAGTAGGGGTGGGATTGGGGTGGAGGGTCTACCTGTGTAGATCTGATTGCATGGGTGAAGTCAGTGTGCTCGCTGCTGCCCTCACTTAAATCAATGTCAAAACCCCCTGTCTTTGCCGTGAGGCATAGCAGCAGCAAATGAAATCGTGTGAGAAAATGATGACTTAAAATGGAAATTGTTTGGAAAGTTAGGAGCCAAGCCTGTAGGCCCTCATCCTGCAAACACATATGAATAACTGGGCATGTGAGTAATCACGTTGCCTTCAGTGGGACTACTCATGTACATAAGTGTTTGCCTTAGTCATGTAATTAATCCTTATTCATGTGAGTAGTCCTAAAGAGGCTTCAGTGGGGACTGCTTGTGCAAAGACAACCCATGTGAGTAAAGGTCTGGAGGACTGGGTCATTAACTTTCCTTGTTGTTACATTATCTTAACAAAATGTTTTATGAGGAGATTTGGAGGGTGTTTTATTTAGCGGTTAGGGCCAGGGACAGCATTGGGTTTTCTGGGTCCTATTCTTGACTGGCAGTGACTCAATGTGTCCCTGGGCAAATCACCAAGGATCCAAACCAGTGCCCATTGAACTCGCTGGAAAGACTCCCATTGATTTCATTAGGCTTCAGATCAGGCCCTTAATCTCTTTGTATATTTACAACTCCGATAATAATGCTTATCCACGTCCCTGGGTGTTGTGAGGCTGAAAGCTTGTGAAGCACTTTGAGATCCTTGGGTGAGGTGTGGTGGATCAGTGCACCATGTCATTGCTCTACAGTATTAAGCATTAGCTGGCCGTGGATCACACAGAATCCCCTCGCAAGAGAGCGGTGCTCTCCAGTGACAGTGGCAAGTGAAACAACAATTTTAAGTACATAATTTTTATATCTTATTATGCATTTCTCCACTTCCCTCGTACAGGCCCCTCTCCTAGCAGTGAGGTAGGACAGAGGCTTCCTGCTGGAAAAACTGAGAGGGAGGGGAGGAAGCAACAAGACCTTAGTTTAATTCTTAGTAAATGGAAACTGAGGTGTCACTCTCCTTTGCCCTCCCTTCCTTTCTTTTTTGGGGAAAAGATTCAGTCATACATAAAAAGACAGACAGTACTGAGACAGCGCTTCATTCAGCCTTTTTCCGCCTGGCTGTTTCTCCCTCTTTAGCTGCTTTGGAGCTGGTTGTCTCCCTCCCCCCAGCAGTTAGAGTAAGAAGCTCCCCATTCCTTCCAGCTCCCTGCCAATCACTACAGCTTTCTTTCTCCATCCTCTTCCTGCCCTCGCTGCCCTCCTCAGCAGCAGCCGACCCTGCAGCAACAGGTGTCTGATCCTCTCCCCACTTTGAAGCTACTCACACTCCCTTCACCTCACATGTTGAGATAGGCAGTCACTTGCTCAGTGCAGCTCCTCTTCCTCATGTTTTCCATAGGATGCCCCCCAGAGTGGCTTCTGCTGAGGCCTGGCTTCCAGCTGCGGCAGAGATATCTTCTGTGGCACCCCCTTCTGCTGAAGAGCGGGTCCTATCTGAGGGCCTGATCCAAAGCCCATTGGGGTCAATGGAAAGATTCGAGTTGACTTTGACTGACTGACTTTGGATCAGGCCCTTTGTTGCTGTGGGCCCCTCTCCTAGTTGTCTGGAAGTGGGGCCCCTAGTGGGCAAACTGAAAATAGAAACATAAATTTAACGGTTTTTTTCTTTTAAAAATCAAAAACTGTTTAACCTGTCATGAACTTCTGAAATGTTGAAAGTATAATCTGGAAATATAGTTACACTGTAAGGATACTGATCTGGTGGGTCCCTTCCATCTCTAGTTACTGTGGTCCTCTATAGCTACATGTGAGAGAGAATGTACTTACGCTGGGCATTAGAGACCGAAGGTGGGTGGGTAACATTTTTATTGGACCGACTTCTGTTGGTGAGAGAAATAAGCTTTTGATCTTACACGGAGCTCTTCTTCAGGTCCAGGAATAAGAAGAGCTCTGTGTAAGCTCGAAAGCTTGTCTCTCTCATCAACAGAAGTTATTTCAATAAAAAATATTACCCACCCCCCCTTGTGTCGCTAATATGCTGGGACCAGGACAGCTACAAGAACACTGCCTACTTGCTTTGGGCGTGTAAGATACATTTTGTGGAAAAATCTCATGACGTTCTATTTTTCTGTAATGGTGTCATTCTTCCCCATAAAGTCATGTATTTTCCATGATTTGGATGATCACTTACAGTATGTGTCATGTGAGCTGTACTCATTGTTTCGTGGAATTATATCTATTATATGGAGTTGTGAAAGCGGTAGAGGCAAGTTACCAATTAAGTGTTCATTTTATTCTTCTCCTTTGAAAAATCCTTTCCATCATAAGAATGACACTGAGAACACTGACACCTCTTTTGCTCTAAAACTGTCACAACCCTTATTCCCACAAAGACACCCCCCTGACACCAATCCTAAATGCAGTTTTGATCCCAAAAAGGGAGAGGTGCCAGAGACTTTATGCAATGCACGATGGACTTCGCTATTGCTGTTGAGTTTACACGGAAGGCACTCAGATACTGTGATGATGGGCAGCAATATAAACCCCCAAGATATAGATATTCTCTATATATTTGTATAGAAATGTAGGACACTGTGCAGAAAGTGGTTGGCATCTCTGATAAATATAATGTATATCTCACATGCCATTAATGTTGTTTCTATTATTGTAAAATGCATGGTAGAATTTACTAACATCTGGACCGGTCAATGTGATGCTTCTAAAATAATTGCAGACTAGCTGTGCTTGTTTCAGGAACAGTTCACTAGTAACAATACTGATTGAACTCCAGAGGTTTTTTTGTCAGCTGTGATTTGAAACATCTTGGACAACAACTTTTAAATACATATCCCCCACAGATCTTGGGGGAATGAGAACAAAAAGACTATTGCTTTTTAGGTTCATATACGTTATCTCTTCCCTATGGCTTTACATTAATATTGTACAGATTATTAATTTATATGACCATGTTCACAGCTTTACGTGAATTCCTGTCTTCTCTTCCCCTGTACAGTGTGACAAAATTAAACAAGAGCGTGATGAGGCAGTCAAAAAACTTGAAGAGTTTCAAAAAAGTAAGTTGGCATTTGAATGGGAATATTAACACTTAAGAGTAAGAGCTACAACCATAGCACTCAGCATTGCCGTGCAGCAGTGACAATGCCGGGGTTCAGATTCAATTGCATTTTCTCCTTCAAAGCCTGGTTTTAAAGGGGTTTGTCACACACCATTTCAGCTTACATCAGGTTAAATGCTGGCGCAGCAGTTGTTGGCTCAATAGGTGAAATCAGTTAAGCCATCTTCAGGTGGGAAGTGCTCAAAAGATAGTAGCCAAATTCTGCTCTGTCTCCTCAGTATAACTCAGCTGAGTTATTCTGAAATTATACACATGTAAACTGAATAGCTATTATACCCATGTAGATTGAATAGCTGTATTTTTTTGGTGGGAAGGGAGTCAAGCTGCTAAAAGAAATTACTGATGTCCCTTGGTAATTTTTATAGCAAGTCATATTTTATCCTGTGAAAAATGTCAAGATCAGTTTTACACTTTTATGGTAATGGTTCTATTGACACTGTATGGTGTCTGGAAGTAACAAAGCACAGCTAATGGGAGTGTAAGTATCCTAGTGGAAAAGCTCCTCATAGGGGACCATTACAATGGGATTTTGGTCTGTTATGTCTGGTTTGTGTCAATGCATGATGACCATTAGAAATACAGGACATGGAAAGCGCACACAAAAATATACAGTGTGAGACTAAGTTAATTTAAATTTCTTTTTTTTGGCAATTGTTCGCAAATACAATTATAGAAAATGAACCTAAAAAATGGTAACTTTTACTATCCTCAAATGATCTTGTATAATTGCTCCATAAGGCAAGGATATTCTTAAATAAGAAGTCTAATTCCTGTGGGAAAAAAACACAGCCTGTTTGGGTTTTTGTTATGATAGTGTGAATACCAGAGTGTGGCAAAAATGTCAAGTAGTTAAGGCTTAAAATTCAAAGTAATATTTGCTGTAAAATTTTATAGGTTTCCTTTATCTTCCTTTCACATTTTTAAAGAACATACCTTGTAAACATAGTGATAAAATGCCAGGAATATTAGGATTTTAAGGCAATAATAGAGCCCATTATTTAAATGACAATATAAAAGGCAATTATATTGATGAAGAGCTACACCGGCTTTGTGTCTGTGAATAAACTTGGCCTGTACTCAGCTTCTATTTGTTCTCCTGGCATAAACACATATTGTGTGTGATTCCAGTTTAATGGGGCCCCGTTTGTATGCCAAGCAGCTGCATTTTAGGCCCTATTGCGTGATTTCATAGCTCTCTGAAAATTGGTTCTATTCAGCACAAGAGATAGAAGGTGGTGGTGGGGGTGGGGGGGAAAGCTTCAACACACAATCATTTCTTTTCAATTGGAGCCAGCAAGGTTGATGACAACATGACCATTGTGTTATAATGATAAGACCACTAAGGATCTGTACCTCTCATCAAGGCTTTCACACAACAGCAGATACAATTTAATTCACTGCTCTGTCAGCAGTGCTGATACCATTATGCCGTCTGTCTCCACAGTTATAATCACTGTCCTCTGAGAAATGCAGTTGAAATGATCTTGAGCAGTCAAAGAAACTCTCAATTAAGGCTGCCACTTCCAATGTGTCAGATTGTGTCTTATGCACTTGGTACAATTTTCACTTCCAATCCTGTTTATTTACAATGTCTACCAGTAATTACGCTTAACGTGTCATTTAGTGAGGGTGCCCCTGCCAAGGAGATTGTTGGGTGCTGCGGTACCATTGAGTGGGAGTTTCTCGCAGTCAATGCCATCAGCAGCTTTTAGGCCCTGATGGGATGCAGTAGTAATGTTGATAATGCAAGTATCGTGCTCATCAAGTCATAATTAGATGCCACTCAAATGTGCCACTTGTAATAACAGTGTTGATTCATGTTTTCTCGGTGACTGCAACTACTAATTAGTTAAGTGGTTTTTGGCTGGCCTGCATTTGCTGCAGATTAATATTACCCCTGAAAAAACATCAAGGTTAGAGATGTTTCTGGCCACTTAGTGCTGCTTTATGAATTTTAATATTAACATAATAAGAACTTTGGGCAGATTTAGGAAGTAATATATTTTTGTATTTAATTTGGAAAGAATTTTTTTCCTGAGTTTAATCATAATTGGAGGTTAATGAAGCTTAAGTGAACCAAGAGTAATCTCTAGTTGTGCTATGTGACCTGGGGTCCTGGTTTTCTAACTTTAACTAGTTTTGCATGCAGGATTTGAGATAGGGTTCTTTCCCTCTTGGTGGATATATATAATATATCCATCCTTCCTCAATTTCTGAGTTTATGATGCAACAACAACGAAAGGAAAAGCACAAATAGTCAATTTCTTAAGTTTTACTCTATAAAATATATTCCTCCACAGCCTCCTGTGAAGGGCAGCAGCTTTGCTCCATACCAATAGTGTAGCTTTTCTGTAAAGCAAGCGTAACTGGCCACGGAAAGATCACCCCAGCGTAGGAGGTTTCACGACGATCGAGGGACTCCAGTGTTCCTCTTCTCTCTACTGCCAGTTTAGGGGACGTGGTCTGAGGATAGATAGAGATTGTTGGCCAGGATTCCTCAATGTTTTGCAAATATCCAGCTGTTCTTTTGGTCTTTTCAGGCTGTTGGTGGCCAGCAGAAATTAGAGCAGACTAAGGGCTACTTTAAGGATTAGTCTACGCTGGAAACTGAACGACACAACTTTTGTCGTTCAGGGGTGTGAAAAAAACACCCCCACAAGCGACAAAAAAAACCTCCCCACAAACCAACGAAAAGTGCCAGTGTGAACAGCGCTTTGTCGGCAGGAGCGCTCTCCTGCCTTCCACTAGTTGGGAGTGGAAGCTTTTTGTCAGCGAGAAAGCTCTCTCCTGCCGACAAACAGTGGCTACGCTGCACACCTTATAGCAGCATGGCTGTAGCGGCACAGCTGTGTTGCTAAAAGGTGCGTAGTGTGGACAAAGATTTATTTATGATGGAGGACTAACCCTGCACATAGTGATCCCAGAATCAGGGCACGTCGAGGTGAGTGTTTTATGTCACTTTGGCCCAACTTGCATGGCCTGCCTTTCACCTGTAGGCAAAGACTTGCCCTATAATCTCCCAAGTTATTTTTAACTTCAAAACATAAAATTTTCTTGTATTATTGACTAAATAGCATTAGGGCAAAAGTACATTTGTAAAATAATGGTAAAACTTCTCAGCTGACAGCACTTTGCTATCTTCCTAAACTATTTAATCTCTGTTGTGCCCATCAGCGTGGTGTCTGGGCACTGGTAGTGTCTGTTCCCATTTTTTTATATCTCTGTCTAATGAACTGCATGGTCTGAAAATATTTTTCCAATCACAATTCTGAAGCTTGTTTCGGGGGAAGAAATATATCTATTTCTTTAGTGTATGAAGCTGTTAAGTTTTAACTCTGGCAATAATTAATACAAATGAATTTTTCAGTTTCCCTCTCTTCAGGCTAAATTCTGCCGCCCCTACTGACATAGTGTAGTATCACAGTCTGTGAATAGTCCTATTTCCATATTAAAGTCTTGATTCTGTGGTTGACTCAGTGCAAGGAAAGCAATCTGCCACCACAGAGTCGGTTGCAGAATCAGGGCCCCAGGACACTGAGGGTGTCAGAATCTAGCCCTCAGAGTAAGGATGGTGCAGTGGTTAAGTTGCTAACCTGAGGACTCGAGAGACCCAGATTCAAGTCCCTGCTCTGCCACAGGCTTCCTGTGTGACCTTGGGCAAGTCACTTAGAGGGGGAGATTTTCCAAGCCATAAATGGTGTTTGGTGCTTAACGCTCACTGAAAGTCAATGGGAGTTTGGGACCTAACTGCCATCTGTGCTTTGAAAATCCCCCTTTAGTCCCTCTGTGCCTTAGTTCCCCCCCTGTAAGATGGGGATAATTGTACTTCCCTATTTTATGGGGTTTTGAGGATAAATACATTTGAACATTGGGAGGTGTTCAGATACCATGGTAATGGGGACCATATAAGCACCTAAGAAATCAAATTACCTGTTTCACAATCACTCTGACATGATCTCAAAAGTTCTAATGTGGATATTTCCATTGTGTGTTACTATCTGATCATCACTGTGTCTTATTTAGACCCCAGTCCCACAAAAGGATCCATGTGAGTGTTGGGATCTGTCTATGTGTATTTTAGCAGGACTGGGAGCACAGGTTGTAAAGTCTTCAGTTTATGTTAGTACAGTGCCAGGTGCAGAGAGAACTCAAGCCATAAATAATAATTTAAAGTACAAAAACCTTTGTCATGCCATTGTTCCGATTGTACAGTTTAAATTACAAATAAAGTCAAGAAATGCCCAAGTTAGGCTTTCAACAGCAGTATTAACTAAGCTGTGTTGCATGCCCATTCTGTGGCTTTTAGGGTATAGTGTTCAGCCAACAACAGAAACTTATATTATGCCTGGGATGGTCTCAATGAAGTCAGTGAGCCCACTTGCAGAGTAAGATACTACTCCATGTGAGTGCCCTGTGTTCTGAAGGAACTCACACTTTGGGGCAGAGACTCTCCCTTCCACCACCACCACCCCCTTTCTTTTCTTTGTATAACACCTGGCATGATGGGGGTTCTGGTCTAACTAGAGCTCCTATGTGCTACTACAAAACAATTAATAAATGATGATCATTGTCAAAATTGTCCCTTCTGGCCTTAAAAACTATCAATTTATGACTTGCTTTTAGCTATCCGAAACTCCTGTAATTTTGCTAGCATGGTTAATAATAATCTGATTGTTGCTTACAAAGTATATCTCTCACTCTGTTTTCATAACCTTTCCTCTCTACATGCATTTATATGGGCTGTGCTTTTCCAAGTTTGTAATACCATTTTCAAAAGTTGTTGATGTGCAAGACAGTGTAGTCATAATCATGGGATGAGTGTGTCAATTACCGTAAAAAATTAGTCAGCTTTTTCATCTTTGTAAGAAACACATTTCCCCATTTTCTAGTTTCTCACATGGTTATCGAGGAAGTAAATTGTATGCAGAACCACCTTGAAATTGAAAAGACGTGCCGTGAAAGTGCTGAAGCTTTGGCTTCTAAGGTGAGAACAATTAATACAATTGTTCAGTTGTACCTGTATTCTGATTTTATGTTCTCATTCTGAAAAAAGGGTGTTGGGTGTGTGTCTCTGTAAGCACAGCAGATGCCTGTTTGCATTCTTTGAGAGATGAAATAACTTTAAGATAGTAAAAACTATAATTCATATGTGAAACACTGTAAAATGTATTTGTTGTTTTGATGTAAGGTGCCCTCCTTTTAGAAGTGTCTATTTAGTTATGCTTTTGGAACCGCAAGCAAGATACCAGTAATTCATGGAGCATTACTTTTTATAGCCCATTTTATATGCATTTAGGCTAAATGGTAAACAAGTTTAAAACTATCCTACATGTGACATAAAGGAATAATGGGCATCTCAGTATCTGAATCAAATGAAAAAGTCTGCCAAAGCATTACATTTCAGGTGATTGTTCATGAAAGCTAACTGAGGGCAGGCAAAAGGTGACCTCCAGTGCTCTGATTGCATCTAGTCTGATGAATTTACCAAGTGTGTAATTTTCTATATTCCATCTCATCAGAAGTACATTATTTATAAAAGAATGTTTTTTATCTCTGTGTTATGTATTTTTGGTTGTGCAAAATGCATCTGAGCCACTTCATCAGAAAATGGATTACAGCAATTTTGAACCAAATTTCATTAGCAATGCCAGCTGTTTTTTTTTGTCTGCCCAGAGTACTACTTGGGATGTGGCAGAAATCGCACCAACAAGAAATCTCTTTAATTAGGACGCATTAGCAATGTACTTTCCAGAGGTATTTACTTAATTGTTTGCATAATGACACGATATTAGAATTCATAAGGTAGTCAATCAGCATATAACTAAGAAAAGTAATTTATGTATGTAACTTTCTTCTCCTCTGTTCATTATTTGTAACATACATAGTGACACACATGGGTGGTTAAAAGACTTGCACTGTCCAGTAGGGCTGATGTGCTTGTTAGTATGTGCTGACTAAAACATGCAAGATTCCTCTTGCTTCCTTTATTTCAGTCTTTGGAAGTGAGATGTGTTTGAAGAGGCTCTGTACTCAAGCAAATCTCCCATTTTTATGGAAGGGAGTTTTGCCTAGGTAAAGAATTCAGGATCATTTCCCCAATACAGTAACTGTAGGGTATCCCTTCTAATCAAAGGAGGAAGTATGGTCTCTGGCTGCATTTTTCAGATTGTATAGGCCAGGGTGCAGTGCGTGTCCTTGTGGGCAGATCTGGACCTGATCTCTGTGGGGGCAGAGAGGGGTGCTTGGCACAAGGGCATGCAAACATTGCACACCCCTTGTGCAATGTGGACCTTAGCTTTGGGGGCCTATGTGCATGCAGGCAGAGTACAGATGTGGAGCAACCAAGGAAAGGCTGGGAGGGAGACCGAAGCATCTTTTGCTGTCTGGATCCTCCAGTTCTTCCTGGCAGCACCAACTTGCTTCATGGTAGGGATGCATTTAAGCTCCCTCATTGTTCTTTCCTAGCCATGCATTTGCTTAGCATCCAGCCCAACTACTGGAGATGGGCATTGGCCTGTGGTTATGACCCATAGTGCATTCGATGATTTCAATTCTGTGTTATGACTGTCTTTTTATGTATATTGAACCTACGTTATTAACTCTCTGGCATCAAAATAATTAGAAGTTAATTATGACTTCTTTAGGATTAGCACTTTTATTAATGCCAATGTATGGTGGAGGAAAGGAGCTGTGGCAGCTATCACAAAGAATATATAAGATTAAAGTAAGCATGCTAGTTAATTGATTTAAGCCATCTAGGATATTCACTAACCAGGAGTACCAGAGAGAAACATTTCTTATATGAAGTAAGAAATGGGCCTGACTGAACCATAACGTCAGATCCAAACCACTTCAAAGTAGTAGGGGACCAAACTTCATGGCTTGGGCCCTTCTTTAGTGTTAGGTGCTGTATTTTAAACTAATATCACTTTGTCTTGCTTGCTGCATGATTGATAAATCTTCTGGTTAAAATAGAGAAGAAAAAGAATATACTTAGCTACATACTGTGCGTATCTTTTACTTTTCAGTTGAACAAAGAAAATAAGACCCTGAAAAGAATTAGCATGTTGTATATGGCGAAACTGGGGCCAGATATCATTACAGAAGAAATTAACATTGATGACGATGATTCATCCACAGAAACTGAAGGTAGCTCGGGTTCATGCAACTCAGTGCATTGTCAACAGCAAATGAAAGGTGAGCTCTGCTGTTGAATAGACCGCATTGTTCTGCATAACAGTTACCATATCAAACATACATACTGTAGAACAAGTTACAATGCAATGATGGAGCAGTCCTACACTCAGATGAGAGATTTCAGTGTTGTTGACTCAATAAAATAAACATTTGCATTAGTCTAGTAACAGCAATAGGTCAGTCACTTGGTACTTTTTACATACACAAAAGACTGAGGGCAGGGTCACCTGTGGCATTTTTTCAGCTGCTGTTTGCGTAAAGTTTCCTCAGTAGGCATATAAGGCAGCGTTCCTTGCCAGTTTTCATTTAGTATCTCTGTATTTCCTTCCATGAAAACCTATATGTCCATCTAACTTTGCATGAGGCACTACCAAAAATGGGTTAAACAGGGACTTTTGCGCTGGGACAAACAGCTAAACTTGAGGGTGACAAAGGGTGTTCATCCTAGAGAACTCTCCTTTACTTTACTAGTAAGTTTCTGAGTTCCCTTTTCTTGTTTTGCAAGCAGTCCCTACTGGAATAAGAGCTTCCCTCCCAGCCTGATTCTGCATAAGCTTGTGTTGATTATGATGGCAAGGCTTCTAACAAGGGGCATGTATGGATTTCCCAAATTCATCATTATGAGACAGGTTAAAATGCTCCCTTTTTAAAAGAACCTCTACTCTTTCTAATTTTAATAGCATAGTTAATAGCTATAGAACATAGATAATTCCCGTGTAGTAGGGAAGTATGATTCTCCCCATTTTACCAATGAGAAAGCTGAGGCACAGAACAGTTAAATGCTTTCTCTAACACTGCACAGCGAATCACTGTCAGAGCTGGGATCAAACTCCTGAGTTCCTAGTACTTCCCCTTGGAGAGGAAAGCCAAGGATCCTGTTGGAGGTTGAGAAGAGCGGAAACAGGGAGAAGCCTGGGCTGGGTACTGAGAAGGGTACTAAGGAAGTTGAAGAGGAGAGAATAACTGAAAGGTCAAAGGTTCAGATAAGCATGTGCACAGTGGGGGTGGGGAGAAGGGAGGGGTGCATTGTATCTCCTGTCACTGTTGATGACACCATTACAGAAGGAAATGCGGTCTGTTGTCCAGGAGTTAGAATAGCTTGTTTCTATTCCCTGCTCTGTCACTGACTCACTGTGAGGCCTTGGGCAACTTACAACCTCCCTGTGTCTCAGACTTTCCTTCTGCACAGTAGAAGGATAATAAATAATCCTGCCTAACTCACATGGGTGCTGGGAGTCTTCCTTAACATTGTTAAATGTTTGTGATACTTGAATGGAAGTGCGAAGTATTTTAGCAGTGGTATAATAGTCACTGTAGTAGGAGGGGATGTATTGTCCCATTGCCTGGAGAGAGATCACATTTGTTTAAGCAGGGAGATCTTTGCTCCAAAAACCAGCACACAGAAAACACCCCCAGTTCTTGTCAATGTACTTCCCGGCCACTTGCATGGAAAGTTCCATGGGTGCCCATCTCAGAGAGAGCAGGGTGGAGGCTGCTATTCAGACAAACAGAAAAAGTTTGAAAAGCCCAATATTTCCAGGGATTTTAAATAATTTTAATCACTGCTCCCAATATGCAATATGTCCAGCAACCATCTCTGCCCAGTCTGCAGTTGACTAGGAACAGATGTTGAAGCTAATAGTTTGGTATTCAAAGAGTAGCAGCACTATGAAAAATGGAAGGCAGGTGGGGAATGAGAGGGTTCAGTGAGAACTAATACAACCAGTAAGTCTGTATCTTTGTGTCTCCTTTATTTTTTTATTTTTTTTTAATTTTTTTAAAAGGGTTAAGCAACAATTTTAAACTAAACCCTTATGGTCCCAATAAGAAGTGATTGTAATCAAATGTTTTATTCCATTGTAATTGAATTAGCAAAATATGAAGTAAATTAAGAAACAAATTCTGAGGAGAGAATTTACCAAAATTACCTCTGCTATCAGTAAAAAGGTTATATGCTGACTCACTTCAAATAATGTTACAAGGGTTATAAATTGGCAGCTATTCAGGAGTATTTCTTCACAGAAAACCTCCCAAAGTATTAAGTGCCTGTTGTTTGTTTATATCTTATTGTGACAAGAAAGAGATCATGATCCGAAAGGAATTCAAGTGTATTAATTTGTTTTACAGGCAGCCTCTAAAAATATTTTTCTGTTGCCACATGGCCTCATCTTGTGAGGTGCTGATCATCTTCTGAGGGGACTGAGGGTCTTCAGCATCTGGCAGCATTGCACCCATAACAGCATATTGCCTTGCAGAAAGAGAGTTTTCAGCAGAATGCAATAAAAGCAAAGACAAAAGAACTGGACAAGGGAGATTACCTTAGTAGAGCAAATCTGAAACTGTAGCCGCGTTGCAGTTCTGTTATATGACACCTAAGAGAAGCATGTCTGTGTATGTATTTATGGAACCTGGGCTATGACTGACGTTTTGTCTTTGCAGCCCAGTGTCTTTCATGCTCGGCTGTATCCACATAATTGTTGGATTTCTTCCCTCCTCACCTTCCCCCCGAGTATAAGATGAAAAAAAATTTTTTTTCCTCTCCTGAAAATGTAGAGCTGCAAGATCAAATTATATCTGTTCAGGAGCAAAAGAAGACCTTGGCCATTGAACTGGAAAACCTGAGGCGCAAACTTGTAGAAGTAATTGAAGAAGTATGTATTGTAGCATGGAAGGCGAGACCATTTGTGTGTATTCAATACCTTTTGTATGTAGTGTTGGTTGAAAACTGTCAGTTGTGAAGTTAATTGAATACTATCTAATCGGAGGGTTCACTAGCCTTGTACTATGGACCACTTCGTAAGAGACTGGTCCTTTCATTGACCACCTTAATGTACCCCCCGCCTCCCAAATTATTTGGTTTTGTGTGGATGGCCAGGAAGGGCTGTGTGGACCAAGGATTGTTATTCTCTGGTCTAAACTGTGATGTTGTCTGCGTTGGATCTTGCCCTGATTTTTAGCCATCAGTAGTCACTCACCAATGTAACTAGACAGGCAAAGGGGCTGTTTTGAGCCAATGGCATGTACCTTTGTTTCATACTGGGGTAAGCTATGTACCGATGCAAATCACCACTTATAGTCATTTGTCCTGTCTGCCCTACACCTGCATTCAGTATGACAAGCAGCAGCTCTTGGCCAATAAACAGAGACATTCACTCCCTCCCTTTGTCCCTCTCCCCGCACAAAAAATTTGCATAACAGTAGCTTGCTTGTGTTAAAATTCAGTCAATAGTGGGTAAGCTAATTACTTTAACCTGTTACCTTGGAATCTGCCAGGATAAAGACAATGTAGAAGTACAAATATGTTGTATTTGCTGCTGTAATTGGTGTGTGTCATGAAAGTGGGCAATGCAATCTCCAGAAGAACCATTTGGTTCTGCAGTACTTCGTAACGTTTGAAAACAATATTATCTGGAGGAGGGAAATATCAATAAGTCAGGTAGGGAACTCCCTTAAACCCCTTTGAAAATTATAATGTGAAGCTGAAAGTAAGTCTTCCAGTTCGAAATCAATTATTAAAAATAAATCTTTGCATGTAAAATAAGATGCAATAATATATTATGCTGTTAATTAGATTCTCACTGATTTATTATTAGTCTGTTTGTGTCTTCTTTATACTCTTCTAGGTAAATAAAGTAAAGGAAGAAAAAGCTGTTCTGACAGCAGAAGTTCATGAACAGAGGAAACTATTGGAAAAATGTAACCGAGGTGTGTGTTCTCAATATTGTTTTTTCACCATCTCCCTCCCTTGCTACTTTATCTCCAGAGCTTTTTCTTAAATTGTGTTATAATTTATCTTCATAGTGACTGAAGTGACGTTCGGGCCATGTTGTGCTAGGCACTGTGTAAACACGTAGGAGACAGTCCCTTCTCTAAAAAAATCTCATTCTTTACATAGTTAAGACGGGTGAAAGGTGTGAGCGATGGGGAACCAAGGCACAGAAAGATTTAAGTGACTTTACCCAGGACTTCACAGGGAGTCTGTGGCAGAGGTGGAAATTAAACCCAGATCTCCTGAGTCCCAGTTTGTTGTCTTAACCACAAGGACCAACCTTCCTCTTAACTTAGGTACTTAATTTTAAATATCTACAATTCCTGATGCATTACAAAGTTTTACATTCAAAACAACACACACAAGGGCTACACCCATCAATATTCAAAGAGAGATCTTCCCCACTCATACAGCATTTCCTGTTTGAAGTCTTCTCCAACTCATTCCCCCACAATCATTCTCCACCAACTCCCAAGGGAAAACAGGTAGGTAGGTCCTGCAGCATCCCCCCCCCAAAATCTTCCAGCTCAGGCTATTACAGATCAAGGAGCACAGTGAGTTCCAAAGGCCATGGTCCTCTCACAGAATGTTCTCCGACCAGCTCTGTCCTTTTACACCAAAAGCGGACTATTAATTTGAATCCATCAGCTGGCAAATGTCACATTGAGAGACAGATGTGGTCTCTAAAGTAGTGAGGATTCCAGACCATTTATGATGTCATAGGAAGATGTACACAGGATCCGCGTAGTCTGTGTCCTTCTGCAGTATTGTGAAATTCAGGATTCTGCTGTTGGCTTGACTATTTAGCAGGAAATGCTTGTATTTGTTGTTGATTTGTGAATCCCACAGGCTGTTGTTGAGCACAGGGAAAGAGTTTGCAGAAACATCAGTGGGCTTTCTGGAAGCTTTCATAGATCTTGTAAGAACAATAGGACGATGGAACAAACTGCCAGGGAAGTCATGGAAGCTCCTTCACTAGAGGTTTTCAAAAAGAGGTTGGATAGCCATTTGTCTTGGTGGTTTAGACACAATAAACCCTGCATCTTGGCAGGGGGGTTAGACTAGATGACCCTTGTGTTCCCTTCTAACCCTGTGGTTCTGTGATTCTGTGTACTTCCTCACTTTCACATGCAGTTCCATTTCTTGAGCATCAGAGAATATGAAGGCAGCACTTTGAGGACTCTAGAGGTACGTCTGCATGGCAAGCAGAGAAACATAGCAGCGAGTCTTAGAGCCCAGGTCTACGGACTTGGGCTTGCAGGGCTCACACAACGGTGCTAAAAATAGCTATATAGATGTTCCAGTCCGAGCTTGAATGTCTACACAGCTATTTTTAATGCCGTAGCATGAGCCCCATGTGTCTGAATCTGTAGACTTGGGCTCTGAAACTCGCTGTTGCAGCTTCCTGCTTGCCATGTGGATGTACCCTAAAAGCATCATCAGCATGATAGACTGTGCCAAGGGAGTGTCTGCTGGTACGTTGTGATGAATGGAAGCAGGGGCTCTTCTTAACACCTTCTACAATGTTTTGTTGAAATATCTTCTTGTGCTTGAGCAAAAGGGTAATCCATCTGCCCAGATCCAATGGAGCAGAATCATAGAATCCTAGAATATCAGGGTTGGAAGGGACCTCAGGAGGTCATCTAGTCCAACCCCTGCTCAAAGCAGGACCAATCCCCAATTTTTGCCCCTGATCCCTAAATGGCCCCCTCAACCCTGGGTTTAGCAGGCCAATGCTCAAACCACTGAGCTATCCCTCCCCCCCAAATAGTAGGCCCAGTGTCTAGTGTAGCAATATATTTCAGTTATTTTTGAGTGGTGATTCATCCAAGAATATTAAAGGAACTGGCACATGAAATTGCAACCCCTTTAGCAAAAATTTTTAATGAATCTATAAACTCAGGGGTTGTACCATATGACTGGAGAATTGCTAACATAGTCCCTGTTTTTTAAGAAAGTGTGTGGGGGGGGGGGGGGGAAGTGATCTGGGGAACTACAGGCCTGTTAGTTTGACACCTGTAGTATGCAAGGTCTTGGAAAAAATTTTGAAGGCAAAAGTAGTTAAGGACATTGAGGTCAATGGTAATTGGGACAAAATACAACGTGTTTTTACAAAAGGTAGATCATGCCAAACCAACCTGATCTCCTTCTTTGAGAAAGTAACAGATTTTTTAGACAATTTAGATAATTTACCTCGATTTCAGTAAGGCATTTGATACGGTTCCACATGAGGAATTATTAGCTAAATTGGAAAAGATGGGGATCAATATGAAAATTGAAAGTTGGATAAGGAACTGGTTAAAGGGGAGACTACAACGGGTCACACTGAAAGGTGAACTGTCAGGCTGGAAGGAGGTTACTAGTGGAATTCCTCAGGATCGGTTTTGGGACCAGTCTTATTTAATCTTTTTATAACTGATCTTGGCACAAAAAGCGGGAATATGCTAATAAAGTTTGTGAATGACACAAAGCTGGGAGGTATTGCCAATACAGAGAAGGACCACAATATCATACAGGAAGAGCTGGATCACCTTGTAAACTGGAGTAATAGTAATAGGATGAAATTTAATAGTGAAAAGTGCAAGGTCATGCAGTCAGGGATTAATAAGAATTTTTGTTATAAACTGGGGACGCATCACTTGGAAGTAACAGAGGAGGAGAAGGACCTCGGAGTACTTGTTGATCACAGGATGACTATGAGCTACCAATGTGATATTGCCGTGAAAAAAGCTAACGCAGTCTTGGGATGCATCAGGTGAGGTATTTCCAGTAGAGATAAGGAGGTGTTAGTACCGTTATACAAGGCACTGGTGAGACCTCATCTGGAATAGTGTGTGCAGTTCTGATCTCCCATGTTCAAGAAAGATGAATTCAAACTGGAACAGGTACAGAGAAGGGCTACTAGGATGATCTGAGGAACGGAGAACCTGTCTTATGAAAAGAGACTCAAAGAGCTTGGCTTGTTTAGCTTAACCAAAAGAAGGCTGAGAGGAGATATAATTGCTCTCTATAAATATATCAGAGGGATAAATACCATGGAAGGAGAAGAATTATTTAAGCTCACTACCAATATGGACACAAGAACAAATGGATATAAACTGACCATCAGGAAGTTTAGACTTGAAATTAGATGAAGGTTTCTAACCATCAGAGGAGTGAAGTTCTGGAACAGCCTTCCAAGGGGAGCAGTGGGAGCAAAAGATATATCTGGCTTCAAGACTAAGCTTGATAGGTTTATGGAAGGAATGATATGATGGGATAGCTTAATTTTGGCAATTAATCAATCTTCGGCTATTAGCAGTAGATAAGCCCAATGGCCTGTGATGGGATGTTAGATGGGGTGGGATCTGAGTTACTACAGAGAATTCTTTCCTGGGTGTCTGGCTGGTGAGTCTAGCGCACATGCTCAGGGTTTAGCTGATCGCCGTATTTGGGGTCAGGAAGGAATTTTCCTGCAGGGCAGATTTGCAGAGGCCCTGGGGGTTATTTGCCTTCCTCTGCAGCGTGGGGCACGGGTCACTTGCTGGAGGAGTCTCTGCACTTTAAAGTCTTTAAACCACGATTTGAGGACTTCAGTAGCTCAGACATAGGTTAGGGGTTTGTTACAGGAGTGGGTGGGTGAGATTCTGAGGCCTGCGTTGTGCAGGACGTCAGACTAGACTATCATAATGGTCCCTTCTGACCTTAAAGTCTATGATTCTATGATGCATGTAGTAGAAATGCCCTACTACCTCGAAGATAGGATACATAGACAGCCAAAATTACTTGAACATAGGCTGATCCCTCTATACTTTGTGTGAGCTAGCAGAGCACTGGAGATTACCGATTTGCTAGTTGTCATACACCCTATTCCTGTTAACTCTTGTATACCGTGCAACTCTGTTGCAGAGTTCTGTACATGTAGAATGAATGAATTATTTTGGCCAGGATTGGTGAATTATCGTAAGTTTTTCTAATTGTTTTGTTCAAGAATTTTCTTTTTGAAATGTAGTTTGATAATCAGTTGGATTTTAGCAGCCTATAATCCATGTCACAAAGTACCACTGACAGTGCTTTGCTTTAGACATAGTTAAGCTGGTCTCCAAAGAGGCAGGGGATTTACCGAGGGTGGTATTTGAAATTGTATGTCATTACTCTGAAAACTAGTCCTTAGTCAGTTAGAGCTGAAGTGCATTGAGAGAGCAATGTGTGCAAGTAGTCATAAGAGACTTTTTTTAAGGGTTTATTGATATTACTCGCAGGTCAGGATTGAGGTGTATGGGCAGAACAATATGAGGAAGTTTGCACAATGCCTCGCTATGGCTAATTTTTTAGGCAGCGATATCAGTCTCACTTGTATGACCATTGTTTTAATACATTACACTCAATTGTACTGATATTACCTTCTTGTTGCGATCTCATTGGTCTCTGATGTAAGGAGACCCGTTGATACAGAGCCCATTAATCTCTGGTAGCCAAATGTCAGTTTCCTGGAAATGCATTCTGCTTTACAAAATATGCAACAATTTTTTATGGATTGAGTATTACGCTTATAGGGCTAGATTGTGGAGCATCCTGACACAGGGGAATAGGTCCCCATTTACATCCCTGTGCTCATTACAGGGTAACTTGAGTCCAGGTATGACAGAGTAAGTAGATATAGTGCACTTGCTCTTTCCTTCCTATAATATGTGGGTGGAGGAATGGCGCAGCCTCGTCTTATCCCTTGCTCAGTGGTATGCAACAACAATGAAATAACAATCTGTCTCTCGAAATATTGCAACGTCATTACCAGAGAAAAAGAGGAAGAGGTAGGAGGGTGGAAAGAAGCAAAACGTGGCTGATTTTTTTCTGAGCTTAACAGCCTCATGGAAAATAAGAATGAAATTTAAGCCAGTGACCTTTCATGGATTTGGTTTTAACTAGCCACAGTGGTGGGTGTGAATTTATGAAAGTATGTGGTTGAGTGTGAATATAATGTAACTGAAATATGCTTCATACAAAAGATCTCTTGTAAGGTATCATTACAAAGCTTATAACCTACTGAGTGTGGTCATCCTATTTGTATAAATGTATAACTCTTGTATCAGAAACTAGAAATATGAAATATAACTCTGAGGGCCTATTGTAATTATGCAAAGTGTGGGCCATTAATGGTGGTTTGGAATCTTGATGGCTCCAATCAACCAGGACAATTGACTGTAGATGACTCTGTTTTACTTGTAAGTCTTCTTGTATACATGTGTGCTGGCCAAGTGGGTAATGAAGTCTTACAGTGACATGTGATCATGTCACTTGAACTGGAATCCATCTTTAACCTGGTGCTTTTTCCATTGAGAAGGAGGGGTGGGAACCCCGGAGGGACAAAGGATTCCCACCTTATGCAGAAGAGATACAAGTGGGTGGAACAGAACAAAGGGGGCAGCCATCATGAGAAATCCCCTAGCTACCACCTGAACTGGAGCAAGGGCTGTACCAGGGGAAAGGATTGTGCCCAGACTAGGAAGGCATCCAGTCTGTGAAAGAAACTTATTGAAATATCTCTGAGGGTGAGATTTTATCTGCATTCAGTTTTCTTAAACATAGGCTTGCGTGTTCTATTTTATTTTACTTGGTAATTCACTTTGTTCTGTCTGTTACTGCTTGGAACCACTTAAATCCTACTTTCTGTATTTAATAAAATCACTTTTTACTTAACCCAGAATATGTATTAATACCTGGGGGGCGCAAACAGCTGTGCATACCTCTCTATCAGTGTTATAGAGGGCGAACAATTTGAGTTTACCCTGTATAAGCTTTATACAGGGTAAAACGGATTTATTTGGGGTTTGGACCCCATTGGGAGTTGGGCATCTGAGAGTCAAAGACAGGAACACTTCCTAAGTTGCTTTCAGTTAGTCTGCAGCTTTGGGGCACGTGGTTCAGACCCTGGGTCTGTGCTGGAGCAGACTGGCGTGTCTGGCTCAGCAAGACAGGGTGCTGGAGTCCCAAGCTGGCAGGGAAAGCAGGGGCAGAAGTAGCCTTGGCACATGAGTGGCAGCCCCAAGAGGGTTTCTGTGATCCAACCCGTCAGAGTGGGTCCCATTATTAAAAACCTAGATGGATGGATAAAGGTGTTGGGGTAATAGCATACTTCATAGGTCTTAATACATGAATAAGTATTGTTGAAATTTTTATGGGAGGAAAAGTTAATTTAGAGAATTCGATATGGGGTATAGTCAACTTCGCACCATGTACTGCAAGTGTTACAGGACATGAGACAAATAATAGAAATAATGTCCTTTTTTATGTTTATATAACCAGAAATATCCCAAAGTACTTTCCATACATTACAAAGCTTGGGATGTGCATGTACACATGGGGAGCATGTGCACAGGGGGGAGGGATAGCTCAGTGGTTTGAGCATCGGCCTGCTAAACCCAGGGTTGTGAGTTCAGGCCTTGAGGGGGCCATTTAGGGATCGGGGCAAAAATTGGGGATTGGTCCTGCTTCAGGCAGGGGGTTGGACTAGACGACCTCCTGAGGTCCCTTCCAGCCCTGATATTCTATGATTCTGTGTGTACACACAGAGACGTACATAAATTATAAGTAAATTGTGTGTGTCATATCACCCACCATTGACAGGTAACCATCTCTGAGTGGAATTCAATTCGGTAGCAGTCCGTAACAACACTACACAACAGTTTAGGACTAGAGGGAAATAATGCAGTATCGAATAGTCCAGTGGTTACACATATAAAGAGGAAGTTTAGGGGAGAAAAGGAGGGCAAAACAAAATCAGAATAGTACAGGTGGTTGGAAATATGGACCTATAAAACTAAACATTTTTATGTTCTTTGTAAGGGATCAAAATATATTGAGCAATCTTATTCCATGGCCTGATCAAACAAACTGTACCTTTGTTAATTTCTTTGCTAGCCTGTTTTTATTCATCCTTGTCTGTTTTTGTTTTTGTTTTTTAAATAGTGTCTGTACTGGCTGTGGAAGAATATGAAGAACTCCAGGAAAACTTTGAGTTGGAAAAGAATCTACGGAAGAAAGCGGAGTCATTTGCACAAGAGGTGGGTAGATCAACAGAAATCCTGCAGATGAAAGAATTCCATAAAATATGGGTCTTGTAAAAAACAAAGAGGTGAGAACAGGTTTTGGTGGTTTTATGGCTAAAGCAGACTGTTTGGAACCCAGACCTCTTACGGACCATTTTCTGGGGCCTTGAGCAAGTCACTTAACCTTTGTGCGTCCATTTCCCCATCTGTAAAATGGATCTAACGATACTTACTTCACAGGTATGTTTGAGGAGTAATTCTACAATGTTCATTAGACATTTTAGGATCATTGCGTGGTAAGTGCCATAGAAGTGCAAACTATAATACATTTTACCAATTTAATTTATTAATATAAATATAACATTTCCCTCTATTTCATTTTTTAAGTTTTGCTATTAAATTTGAGAGGGCTCAGACAGTCATAACATGAGAATTTATATTCCCAGAATATGGGCTTAATGTTGCAAGGACAACTTTCTTTTTTCATTCTGGTTTGGAGTGGAATACGTTTACTGGCAAAATATATGAACCCAGCCAAAGAAATATGAGACAGTTTGATATTCGGATATGTGCAAATATGTCTGCAGTTTGGAATATGTCTTCAGAAGAGACCCAGTGTTGGTGAAGATTTCAAACAATCCTCTGCGCGGGGGAGAGGCATGAGCAGATTTCAGTGTTGTGAAAATACAAAGAAGGAAATAGAAAAGGAATACTTGGGGCACCTTAGAGACTAACCAATTTATCTGAGCATAAGCTGTAGCTCACGAAAGCTTATGCTCAAATAAATTGGTTAGTCTCTAAGGTGCCACAAGTACTCCTTTTCTTTTTGTGAATACAGACTAACACGGCTGTTACTCTGAAAGAAGAAAATGAACTTTGAGAGAACATTATGGAATGTCTGTGATAACTGTCCCAATACCTTCTTGGTCAGTGAGTTTCAACCTGTGGTCGGCCAACCCTTGGGGGTCTGCAGACTGTCTAATATTTCCAAAGGGGTCCGCACCTCCATTTTACATTTTGTAGGGGTCTGCAAAGGAAAAAAGGTTGAAAACTACTGTTTTAGGTGGCCATATTGTTCGCCATGGGAATTCTAATAAACTCTAGCGCAATCTTGCCAATCCCAAGCACTGAAAAATCATTAGATTGGCTTAAAACTCATGCAATATAAAAAAATAATGCTCTTCTTCTTTGCTTCCTGGTTTTTGAGCTTTAGGGTACACGTGGGTTATGTTATCAAGCATTTTCTCCATAACTATGTGGGCTAGAAAACTTTTCTTTAATGGAAGCTGAGATTCTCAAATAATCATGTGACTCTGGAACCCAGGGTTTTAAGGAGAACACCAAATATTGCAAGACTCATAGTAAAATAAGAGTTGGAAAAACTGCAGTGTTGTGAACGGTAGAAGCATGTTAGGTCTCATTTGAAATGTCCGTTCAATTTGAACACCTGGGTGCAGGCAGGCAAATAGAACGTGGTTTCCTGGGCATGAAATTTCTTTTGGCCAACTGGCAGGCTTTTTATTTTTTTAACCAAGACTTTCATGAAATCGCTGCTTGATAACTCCTGTGCATCTAACTACACCCACTATGCTAGTGATCATATTGTGTGGTTAAGGGCATTTTTTGACTAGGAGATTATGGAAGGGAGTGGATATGTTTACTGGATGCAGTGTTTGCCAACTACATCTTTGTCTTGACCTGGGTATTCATAATGCTTCATCTGTGAAGCGAGTTATAGAAAGTTTTTTTTAAAAAACAAACCTCCAAAAACCCCCAAGCTTTGTTGATCTGAGAGCCCGAGGTAGGCTATGAATGAACTTAAAGAACTGAAAGAATGAGGAGTTCTTGTGGCACCTTAGAGACTAACAAATTTATTTGGGCATAAGCTTTCGTGGGCTAAAACCCACTTCATCGGATGCATGCAGTGGAAAATACAGTAGGAAGACACGCACACGCACACACACAGAGAGAACATGAAAAAATGGGTGTTGCCATACCAACTCTAACGAGACTAATCAATTAAGGTGGGCTATTATCAGCAGGAGAGAAAACACTTTTGTAGTGATAATCAGGAGGGCCCATTTCAAACAGTTGACAAGAAGGTGTGAGTAACAGTAGGGGAAAAATTAGCATAGGGAAATAGTTTTTCGTTTGTGTACACGAAAGCTTATGCCCAAATAAATTTTAGTTTCTAAGGTGCCACAAGGACTCCTCGTTCTTTTTGCTGACACAGACTAACATGTCTACCACTCTGAATCCTTAAAGAACTGGGGGCTCTTTAGGGGAGGAAGACACTGTGAGTGTAGCCCATAACCACACAGTGCTATGCTTTGTCCTCCTCCTGCTGGTGACTGGGCCACATACAGAGGTTGATGAGCCTGCTATAGCCTTGGCTAGCAGAGCTGGGTTTCTTAGAGGCTTTTAGAACCAAAGGTACCAGGTTCAGTCTCCCCTCCCAACAGCCCATAAGCCAAGAGAGGGTCTCTGCTGACAGCATGACGCTTATAAGGTTTTCCAGCTCCACAACTAGTGCGTTGCTGCTGTATGCACAGCAAAAACTGTTTCTAGTTCCTGTTCAGCTTTGCATTTGAATAATTGGACCAGCTATTCGTTAGTACAGATATTCAAGGAGAAAGATAAGAGTTTCAGAGACGAGGGTATTCTGTTCCGCTAGATTATCACTCATTCATTTAGGGCCAGATATTAAAGGGTAGTTAGGTAGCTTAAGACAAGATGCATATCTAGTGGGATTTTCAAAAGCATCTAGGCATTTAGCTTCCAATAATTTCAAAGCTGTAACAATTTACTTCAGTTTAGGATCTGTCCCATTGACTTCAATCGGACTGCTTCAGCGAATAAGGAGTACTCATGGTTTTTAAGGCTTTGCAGGATTGGACCGTCTACATAGACATGAATTACCTATTGTTCCTTTGAAAACTGTATCAAAAAAAGACTAGTGCAGGCAACAGAAATAGAGTAAGAGTAGGGCGAAGGAGGCCAGCATTTGCCAGAGAAGATTCCCGTGTTTATTTGTTTGCAGGTGGTTGGTCTGATTTTTTTTTCCTATATATTTATAATTAAAATAGTCAAATACAGGCATCTACCATCTTCTGATACACGTCACAGTCAGCTCAACAAGCACACTGTCCCTTTTGCATTCCTGTGCATCATATCCACACTGAAAATAGAAAAGCGAGACAAGGATGACAGTGAACCACTCTAAAAAGAAAAGCCTTCATTAGACAGCTGGCAGGTTATCAAGTGTCATTGGCTATACACTTTTTTCAGAGAACTGCAGCCTGTTGCCAAGGACAATCCTAATGAATATGTCAACAAGAACGACAACATGCTGAACTAGATCTGCAACACATCGTTCTTCAGGAAACATGTCTTATGCTGTTACTGTATTTAAAAAAAAAAAAAAAAAAAAACCTGCTCCCAATAATCCCAGAAACTGTGGAACAATGTTTCAGCTACTTAAACTAGTAAAGATATAGTATGTCTGAGAGTAACAGTAAGGGGTTGTCTACATGGAGACTTTGTGTGCAGCAAGTTGGGGTGTGAATCTACAGTGCGCTACCTTGCTACATGCTAACTAGCCATGTGGACCCTGCTCTGTGCAGTGAAAGTTCCATGGTGTACTTTGGCATTACTGTTCTTTTGAAATAGAAAACACCCTGGCTTACCGCGCACCTTGGCCCAGATTTTTAAAGGTATTTAGTAGGGCTGTCAAGCGATTAAAAAAATTAATTGTGATTAATCACACTGTTAATAATAAAATACCTTTATTTAAATATTTTTGGATGTGTTCTGCATTTTCAAATATATTGATTTCAATTATAACACAGAATACAAAGTGTACAGTGCTCACTTTATTTTTGATTACAAATATTTGCACTGTAAAAAACTAAAGAAATTGTATTTTTCAATTCACCTAATACAAGTATTGTAGTGCAACCTCTTTATCATGAAAATTGAACTTACAAATGTAGAACTATGTACAAAAAAAAACTGCATTCAAAAACAAAACAATGTAAAACTGTAGCGCTCACAAATCCACTCAGTCCTATTTCTTGTTCAGCCAATTGCTCAGACAAACAAGTTTGTTTACATTTGCAGGAGATAATGCTGCCTGTTTCTTGTTCACAATGTCACCTGAAAGTGAAAACAGGTGTTCTCATGGCACTGTTGTAGCTGGTGTCGCAAGATATTTACATGCCAGGTGCTCTAAAGATTCATATGTCCCTTCGTGCTTCAACCACCATTCCAGGTGACATGCGTCCATGCTGATGATGGGTTCTGCTCTATAACAATCCAAAGCAGTGCGGACTGACGCATGTTCATTTTCATCATCTGAGTCAGATGTCACCAGCAGAAGGTTGATTTTCTTTTTTGGTGGTCTGGGTTCTGTAGTTTCCGCAATGGAGTGTTGCTCTTTTAAGACTTCTGAAAGCATGCTCCACACCTCGTCCCTCTCAAATTTTGGAAGGCACTTCAGATTCTTAAACCTTGGGTCAAGTGCTGTAGCTATCTTTAGAAATCTCACATTGGTACCTTCTTTGCATTTTGTCAAATCTACAGCGAAAGTGTTCTTAAAATGAACGTGTGCTAAGTCATCATCCGAGACTGCTATAACATGAAATATATGGCAGAATGCAGATAAAATAGAGCCGGAGACATACAATTTTCCCCTAAGGAGTTCAGTCACAAATTTAATTAATGCATTATTTTTTTAACTAGCATCATCAGCATGGAAGCATGTCCTCTTGAATGGTGGCTGAAGCACGAAGGGGCAGATGAATGTTTAGCATGTCTGGCATGTAATACCTTGCAATGCCGGCTGCAAAAGTCCCATGCAAATGCCTGTTCTCACTTTCCGGTGACATTGTAAATAAGAAGCGGGCAGCATTATCGCCTGTAAATGTAAACCAACTTGTTTGTCTTAGCAATTGGTTGAACAAGAAGTAGGACTGAGTGGACTTGTAGGCTCTAAAGTTTTGCATTGTTTTGTTTTT